TGCCTGGAAGAGTAACGAATCAGAAAAATACTAAATGTTATTGGTACAGAAAGGTCACCGGTCATAGTCACTAACGTTGCTTGTTAAAGTAAGAAGATTAAAACAAGGTGGAAGGAGAAACAGAGGAAAATGAGTTATGGAAAAGAAAGGGACAGGAGAATGTGCAAATTTTACTTTACCAAGTAGCTTCAGTGACTATTACCTGTGACCGTTCTGTACCAGTTCAATTTCGTATATTTTCTTACTCATTACTCTTGCACGCATTGGAGTGGCTGCAACTGATGAGCGTTACTGAACTATTATAAATCAAATGAATTTTGCACTGTTTGCTGCTTACAAATTCTCGCCAGGGAAATAATGCTTTAAATAAGAAGTTGCTCGTTAAGAAAACCGAATGTTGCTCAGGCTAAGTCATGAAGCATTCACCGGCATTTGAAGGCGGATTGATATCAGAAAACGTTATTATGATGATGACGATGATGATGATGATGCTGATGATGATGATAATGATGATGATGATGATGATAATGATGATGATGATGTTTATGATGATGATGACGACGAAGAAGAAGAAGAAGAAGAAGAAGAAGAAGAACTAAACATATCCGAATATCTGTTCAGCAGATTACAAAAGACTAACTTTTGGGGGAACTAAAGTCGATCAATCCTTCACACTTCGCCCTGCGTTAGCGTTTTAATAAAGTGAGGTTTTCAGAAAAAAATTCACAACGCTGAGAGCTGACCTAGACTTCCTTATTCGCTCACATGCCTGTGTTGTTTGTGATTTGTAAATAACTGGACCCTAGAGTTGCACAAAGTGTCACCTGCTATCCTTGAGAACCTCTTTTTCATGTGAATCACCTGTCTCGGTGTGTAAACAAATTGGTTACTTTTAGAAACCCTAACGTTCGCTTATCGCTTTTGAAAGTTAACCTTTAATAGTATGTCTGGTTTAAAGGATGTACAGGCTGTACTAATGTCTGAACAAAACCTGGTCGGATACTTTCTAAATTGTTTGTTTATCTTCTAAGTAAATCACCTCGCCACTTCCTGTTGGGAAAGCCAGGCAGAATTAAAAAGCAAACATGCTGGAACCATCGTGTGCCAACGGCATCCAGTCATTACACAAACATGTTCGATATGATCTCTGTAATGTGGTATCAGATTCTCAGAGCCCTAAATTGTAGTTACTTATATGGCAAACGTGGTTTATTAATGGAAATTAGGGAAGGGGAGCTAAAATAACGATACGCATTCACGTGGACACGATTAAAATACACAAAATGTTTATGTCAGTAATGGAATGCATTAACATGCTTAGTTGTCTAAATACTCGCAACTGGATGCAGTGCTCTTTGCTGTGTATGCAAAGTGTACTCTAGACTGCCTGTCACGTGCAAACAATGGTAATCGGCCAATTCAAATGGTGTGCAATTTGGACACAAGATTTCCATGTCAGTAATGTAATGCACTTACTTACCCAACTGTCCAAGGACTCGTCACCAGATGCAGTTGTCTTTCCTGTGTATATGAACTGTACTTTAACCTGCCTCTCACGTTCAAAATGGTTATCGGCCAATTCAAATGATGCGTAATCTGGGCACGCACACTCACACGTTTAATAGTGAGAACGTGCGTAATCATTGTGGTTGTTTGGCGTTGGCAGTCGGATATGTTCTCAATTAGCGTGGGTGTAAACACTCCTCGGAATTTACTGTATAAAAAAGAAGGATGATTAATAATACTGATGTACGCTTGGCCTTTCGTACGAGCATGGAAAATGGCATAAGTTATGTGAAGTCGAAGGCAGCCTAGTATGACTTAGCTCACCATTTTTAAGAACCTGATTGCCCTCGATTTTATTCTGATTCACGACATCAAGTTAAGAGTGTGCGCACAATCAATTATCTAACCATCTGAGCTATGGGACTACGTTTGGCGAACTAACTGCTTCCAACTGCATTTGGAACAGCGTACACTCCAACAAGGATACGGTTTAAGCTTCGATTACTACAAACCCAAAATGAATATGTACACGGACCCGAATGCCCAATAAGTTTCCTGTGGATAGTTGGGCATCTACTGAAAGGAGGGTTCTACTGCCACACTTATGGTTCAAGTGGTTAGAGCTTTTTTCTGATTTATACTCTTTTTGAGGCTTCCGAGCATCTCAGAACAATACCAAATGGATACAAGCCACACCAAAAATTTATCCCAGTGCATAACGTGTGATGAATTTCCATGTGATGAACGATTTCCTTCTTCATAAGCCGTCAGAAGAATACTATAGTCGGCGTGCACTAAATGTTTGCGAAATAGAGATAAACATAACCTCAGTATTTCACTCAGTCCAAAGCGACGTGAAAACCAAGGCCCGATACATAGTACCTTCTCACTTCTTGTACCAAAGGCAGCAGCTACTGCCACCCAAAGTCAAACGTGGGCCGCTTCCGCAATTGAAGAGCAATTGAATCTTCGGTTTCTTGCCTGTGAAGAAGTGAATGGCCACGGTCTTTTTGAAGGGCACCAACTACCATCCGAAAGCCAAAAATGTTTTGAAGAACAACAACTTGTATTGCCATTGCCCAACCAACCTGGTGAACAAGCTGACCTGTCGGTGTAATTTTGAGTCTAAGTCGACGCACGGAAACAGCCAAGGACAGGTACATTTTCGATTATGTGGCCTGACCAGTCCAATCATTTCAAGTGGATATTCTGGATTATTAGAACGAATATGTTTACACATGATTCCGCCA